ATGGCTGATATTTGCTTGGGATGCCCACCTACGTTCCTGCAGAATCTTGAGATACGTCTTCCAAACGGTACGGCGTTGCTCTCCGGAGCATCTGCATGGAGAAGCCCAAAATCCTTCATCACAAATTTGGGCACATCCCCTTCTGAGCCCTGCAGGGGCCGCGGCAGCGCTAATGACGGCTGCCTGCTGTCAGTGGTGCCATGTCTTACGACCACACGAACGCCACAAATTTGGCAAGGCTGACCGCGCTTTGTCAAACCCCCTCCCCCTGGTGCTACATATTCCATCCTAATAGCCCATATACGTATCTTGGCAGCATAGTTAATATTACCTTGTAGGGGGAAGCGGGTACACAGTGTAGTGACTACTCAAGCGGCTTCTGTGTACCCTTTTGGCCCTCTGCAGGATTCACAGGATGTAAGGACTACCCGTTTTCAGCCAAGTATTCCAGTCTAATTTTCTGAGTAACTGGAGTTGCTGTATAGAACTATACTTACTTGAACTTGCTAAGTGACCCGGCGACCCTGAAAGCACGACCCCAACTTCCAAGTAGAAGGCTGCAAGGAGGATCACTTAAGGATTCGCTCGCTCTTGTTTACAAGCACTTTTCGCTCTTTGGAGGGATGGGAGAGCGGCAGCACTTCTGTTCCCGACATCAAGCGCACAAAACCACAGTATGTGTTGGGGATGCTCTCCAAAGGATCATCTTATCTTCGGAATCTGTGTGAAATCCTATCATAATTTCACGATGTGCAACTCTACCAGCAGAACAGCCATCTCTGACAGCAATGCAGCATAAGGCCAGGTACAAATCAAAGGAGTCACAGCAGTTCCTGGGAAAATGGGCTGCGTGTAATTACTAGGAACTGAGGGAGCTTTGACTGAAATTGTGTGAAAGCAAGGCCTGTCTGAAGCGGGGCCACACCCGTCCATGGCAGCTTGAAAATTCGACGCAAGCAGGGCTAGCAGTCTGAACACAAAAGCCCTTACCGATACTGTTGCAATGTCAAGGCGAATCTCTGACTTTGTTCAGAAACAGAAACATACCAGCGCCATGAAATACTTCACTTATGGTATTGTAACAGAATGCCTCGGGGAGGTTTTCAAAACAGGGGCAGGCAATTGCGACTCCGCCAAAAGCTTTGCGATCTCCGCGCCTGCTCTGCCAAATCGGCTGTCTTCCCTCTGATGGAGAACCAGGCAACCAAACCCTGCATCATCAGCTTGTGAGATTCTGGGACTGGGATACATGGAGGGATTTCGGGCTTTGCCCGTAGAGAGTGTAGGGTGGACTGTTCAAGAAGGAATGTAGAGCCCATGGGGGTTTAGCACCTGTTGCATGTGTTCTGACTTCTGCTTCGATTTCCAGCTTCTTGTCTTGCATGGCGCTGATGCGCTCATCACTAGAAATGACTGCACAGCTGCGCCCATCTGCAACCATTCTGCCTTGAAATGCAAGGGGCCGCTGCCCCACACGGGGTGCTGTTACAACCCATCCTTATCCATAAGTCTTTCATGAGCAAGCCCAAGACTCAAGAGCATTTCCTCCCCATTTCTATGCAAGTCCTCCCAAGGCCCACCCTCTGCCCCTTCACATAAACTCTAACTCGGCTCGCGGCAATGTATGAGAACCACAGGATGACCAGGGTCAAGGCACCAAGCACCTGCTTCAGTTGACGAGCCCCAATGTGAATTACTGGCGCGGGTGTAGATTGCGTAGGAACATCAAAATGGGCAAGGGGGGAACTTGGAAATACTTTGCTGTAAGGAGACCCGCGCTCGTTCAAGTGTCCAGGCGGACACCCACCTTTAAGCGGTGACAGTGATGACGCCCGAGGAAGGTTCTGATGCAGCTCCCAAGGATCGACACCCAGCTTGACGTGTAACCTACATCAGGATTTTGCAAAAAGCAGCTACCCTTACAACCCTAGTTGCCCTTACAACCTTAGATAGATATGGTAGGCAACAGGTACCTCATAGGGCATCCAAGATTATGCCGGGCTCATTTTCAGAAACTCAGGACAGCCGATAGTACGTAGGTGCTCTCCTGGCTAATCACGTAGGGGTAGCCAGTGCTTCCTTGCTGGAACACCATAACTTCCAAATTAGCAAGTGCTTGGGATCCTGCAGGATCTTTAATTTAGTATCAACGGTAGTATTCCTTCCAGGGCACATCTACTGCACGACACATCTCACTACGCTACGCGAAAGCTGACTACAAATGGGACAAAGACAAGGCATCCCTGAACTTCCTCATTTTTATGACCCGTAAGGAAACCCCAAAGACACCCCCATCCTGGAATGGACGTCTAGATTTTGATGACCCGTTTCGAAACCCCAAAGACACCCCCCAATTGTAGCAAGGGGATCTACTCCCTCCTGTCCAGCTTGCTGCAGTCTTCGTGCTCTCCAAGCCTTGCTGGATGCAGGGCCACCGAGTTCGCCGCCCACGTAGGAACGCCGGACCATCCTAAAAGAACACTGAGGTTGCGCACTGTTATTGGGAACTTGCTCCAGCTTGCAACATTTGCTCTGAAAGCCTGTTTCTGGCACTGCATAAGTATCACTGGCTTGGACGTGCGGTAATTACTTCGCCCAAGATGCCTTACCAAGCCGCCGTAGTGTTTGCTAAAATGTCATTAAACCTTCTGCTTATGTTTGATGTTCAGCATTTTGTGTTGGAAGATGTCTTGCAGGATTTTGTACCTGCAGATGTATGGTCCCCCTTAAATAGATAGAATATGGGGTATATGGGGATCTTTTGTATAAAAACCCCAAACCCTATACCCTAGACCAGAAATAGTAGTTTCCATTTTAGTTTCCATTATCCAAAATAACCCAAATACATTCTATCTACTTAGTCTATCTACTTGAGGGGGACTAGATGTGCTCCAAATCTGAACAAGCTTGTGGCAGGCCGTCTCTAACAGAGACCTTCGGCCGTCTGCTGCCACCAAGCCACATCACCACAATGGCCAGACCAGCCATCGCAGCCTCAACCCATGTCAGACTTAATAACAACCATAATATAGTACATGGGGGTATACTACTAATAACAGTGTAGTACATAGGGATCTAATAATATAGTATACAAGGGTATAATATAGGGGTAATGGAAAATGAAATGGACCCTACTATTTAGATTTAAGGGGCATCTGGCTTGATGCGTATTACGGGGAAATCCATGTACCCATCACTTAGCCTGACCCACCAGTTCTGAGAGAGGTGTCGACTTACGGGATGGCTGCATGTCAGGTTGGGAAGTTGGGAACCTGCCAGGTTGCATGGCGAATCTTTTTTTGAAAGTGAAGCCCACTTGCGATTACTACCAGTAAGTTTCTGAAACTGTTCCTACTTAGAGGTTCGCAGCTGCTGTCGTCTTTTCGCCAGACACTTTGGGATTTTAGCTCACAGGAGGTAAACCCGCAGCCCTCCAAATCACTTGGCGTTCGCGCGAAGACCACGACGCCGAAGACCAGCTCCTGTCTATGGGCGCTCTGAAAAATCCATTTGGAGATTTCAATAAGGTGGCCTCCTCTACGTTCACCCTCTCCGAGAATCACCCATAAAACTATATTATACTCCTTTGTTAGCTACCAAATGAAAACCCCTTCAAAAAAAACACCATCAGCATAGCTGAGGTACGCTGTGGCGTTGTGTAGGGTTACACATACTTGCATTTGTAAAGGGGTGTGCGGAGCTTTCAAAACTAGAGCTCCACCCATGCCACCCGCGAAAACTTTGTAGCACGCAAGAGTGCTGAGCCCTGTGAACCATTGTTCGCGCATAGGCGGGTAAATAAGCTTCTGCTATCCCCCCTTGGGTTCCTACTTGGCGTTAAGGCCTACGAGTTTAGGGCTTTGGGTTCTGCATGGCTTGTGGGGTCCTGTTCTGTATGTCTGTATGGCATGGCATTGAGAAAGCTGTTGCCATGGCCTTGTTCAAATGACTTGTTTCAAGGCGCTTAAAATTGTATTTCAGGACTCTAACTTTAGAATGCATATGCAGGAAACGGGTCTGGATTTACCGCCAACATCCTGCTTTCAGAGAATTCCTTGAAACGACCCAGAAAAAAGGGACCCACAGTCTTTGAGTTACCATCCTGAACCCTAAAAACCATAACCCCTGAAGGCGGGGCTCGCAGGAGCTACGGAAAATCCCAGAAAACCCTAAGCCCTGAAACCCCTAAAACCCTTAAACCCTGCTGGATCCAGCCTGCGTAGCCTCTGCTGGGAAAGCGACTTCCAAGTCATTTGCTTCAAGCAAGAAGTCTCATTAGTCGAGGGAGCCATTCTTTGAGAATTATCTCAACAGAAAACACCATACTCCTGAACCCTATAAACCCTTAAACTCCTAAACCCTTGAATCCCTAAACCCTTAAATTCCTAAATTCCTAAATCCTTAAATCCCTATAATCCCTAGAGCCCTAAAGCCTGTGGCAGTCCTCGGCCCCCTGGATGACCAGGCCCGCTCTGTCCCTGGCAACCGAAGAATGATCACAGCATAGTGGGTTAAGGTTAAGGGTTAAAGGTGGTAGGGAAACATGCCCACGGAGAGGAATTTGGAAACGGAAATGGACGTTATAGACATTCACTCCACGCCCCGTAGGTAGGCTGTCCAAGCTCAGCGCAATAGCGCACTCCGTTGTCAAGGACCGAGTGCCGCTGTGGAAGCCCTCTGTACTGCTCTCCGACTGTCGAGACGCCATGTCAGACAAGTTGCCTGCACAAACCATCAATTCACGATTTGTGTTTGGAAGCTTCCTTCGATCCAAGGATCCCACCTGCAACTTTAGCAGTCACGAACACTCCAGATGAACCAGCCAAAAAAACGACACTCTTCCAATCTACAAGGCCGGCATTGTACACCGCAGTTTTAATGCCTAGGCCAGCATGTGAAGAGCAATATGGACGAAGAGCGCTTAGGTGCTATTCCTTCGTTACGTGAGCTATAGCACCTGACTAGTGAGAAGGAAGATGGTTCATCAGCCTGATCATGACCTACTCCTTCGGCTTGCTCCACGTGTTTGAAATCTCCCACCCCTTGCGAAATCAAGGGCCTCATGTTGTCTTGGGCGGCAATGTCTGGGTAAACAGCCAGCCACTTGGCCGTTCGCCCACGAATAGCCCACACCCTGGAAGCATGAGCGATAGGAGCAATTAGGGTGCTTTTGCAGTAAGTTTATCGCAGCGGAGGCTTGAGGCCAAAAGCGCTGTCATCATCCTTAAACACGAGGAAACAAGGAGTCTTGGACCTGACATGTGACTTACGCGGAGCCAAGCGCACAGTTCTGCAATGTCTGCCCCCTTGCGGACCCTTAGCCTTAGCCACCTTGCATCCTTTTGGTGTTTGTCGATTGAAAAACCGAAGCAGCATCTTAATCACGCCGCGCAAGGCAAAAGACAGGGCGTGCTGTGTTCATCCCTAGACTCAAGTCCAGAAGCTGCAGCCCTGCTGAAGGATATTCACACGAACGCCAGAAAAGATAGGACTGACAGGGTGCTGCTCGCCTCAAGCATGGCACCACAAAAGATCTGCCACTCCGCTGAACATAAGCTCCGCACCCTGATATTCTGCAACACTACACCTTCCTTTTGCTGCAGCTCAGGTTCACTCTGAGGGCATATCAGTCACCGCTCCGGTCCAGATCAACTAATCCAACCAAACCATACCGAAACCCTACCATTGGCAGCTTGAACCCTGTACAAGCTCCCTTTAAGCCGGAAAGAATGTTCGTCACCTCTGGAGCTGGAGCTTGCAAACCTATACCCGCTGGGGCGGCTACACTGCGCCCACCGTCCAAGGAATGCCGATGCCGAGGAACACGTTCACGGAGTTGCTGCCTGCTTAGAAGCGCGTATGGCTGAATCTGGCTTTGCTGGGAAAGCAGCTTCCTGTTCTACATGTATTCAAGACCCAATTCCTTGGAGCATGCAACCTTGCCGATGCAAAGATGCCTCACACGAAAGCAAGCCAAGCCTGTCACGTTGATGATTGCAGCATCAGCCGTTGGATCCTGTTCGTCATCTGTACGCACATGACTGTGAGGCAATGATAGGGCTTCCGTGCTACGCGCAGTCCTCCACAGCAGCGTGGCGCGAAGCAAAGAGATCCGGCATCGAAGTGCCTGCAGTCATTCTCCAAAGTTCACGCGTGGTTGCTGGCGGACCGGAGAGTCTCTCAAGAAGAGGCAAGATGACATGACATTGATATACCAGGCCCGCGCAAACACCAGTTCGTCTTCGGGCCGGAAAACCAGAATTGATCTCTTGTCTGGGTAAGTCGTTCCCTTGTAACATTGAAAGCAAAATGGCTAGCTCAGCAGAATCAGAAGCTGAACCAAATCCCAAACAATGCAACCTGAACCCCCTGAAAACCCTTGCCCCAGATCGAAGACTGAGGACTGCCAGCTGGTCGACAGTTCGGAAGTACGCAATATGGATGCCTACAGTATTCAACCAGTTTTAGAGACTACTACAGACACCTTCTGCAAGAGCCCTTACATCCTATCCGTGCCTTCCCTTGTGAGCACCATCAAACTGAAGCAAGATCCCCCTCTTTTCATATGTTCCCTCACGGCCCCTCTATACTGCTGCCCATTCATGGAGGTTTTTCAGAGATCATCAACACGTCGTCTGCATTTCAGCTCAGTTTTATTCGGAACGTTGCCAAACGTAGGGTTTAGCGCTACTGTATTTCGGACGCAAAGACAATTCGTACAGCGAAAGGTGCAAGAGGCAGTGAATGCAATGTACTTTGCAGTACTTCGGGGACTTTCAGGGCAGAATATGCTCGTGATTGGCAGGGGCCGAGTTTTTATGTTATTTTGTCATTTGAGGACATTGCCTTCCTTTTTCCTTCACACTTGCTGAAGTTCTTGAGGCGCGTGCCGGTTGCTCTTGTTATCGGATGCTCTCGAAACTCGAATGTTATTGTGGTTTAGCCTGGACGAATGGGGCGTAGCCTGGACTAATGAGAACGATCCTTGAACTAACAGGAACGATCCTTGGACTAATGGGGCGATGATGTAATTAAATCAGACCTCCTCACACCCTTGGACCAATAGGGTCTAGTTTGGACTGACTGGAATGATCCTTGACCTACTCGGAACGTTCCTTGGGCTAAGGAGGCAAAGCTGCTGCTCAGGTCTTCGCATGCTGACGAAGAGGGACAAGGTTATGAAGTGGGTATGGATGCTGTGATGACGGGAAGCTCTGGGACATGGGTCCAACCTGGATGTCCCCAGCTGTATGTAGACATGCTGTCCAACATGGATGATGCCCGCAAAATGTGGCAAAACGTGGGACGGTACGTAATCCATCCGGTAGCACAATCAAGAGGTGTGGCCTTAGGGGGTGCTTAGAAGAACCCATGACTCCCCAAGGGTCCAAGTACCCAAATATCGGGCTTGGGGTGCCGAAAACAGTTCAGATTATAGTATCTTAGATCCACGAACCCCATGGCTTGGGCGCCTGGACCCTTAATCCTACATACCCCGTCTTGTTTCAACATCCCTCTTTATCCCCCTAGGGAGAACCCTATGACTCTTTCTGCTTTCTCCAAGCCCAGAGTGGCCTAGAGCCACGAAGCTGACCCCCGTAACCAGGTCAGGGATCTCAAGCACCTGAAGATAAAATGGAAACTACTATGGGTATATTGAGGTTATTTTGGGATAATGGAAAATAAAATGGAAACTACTATAGGTCTATTGAGGTTATTTTGGGATAATGGAAAATAAAATGGAAACTACTATAGGTATATTGAGGTTATTTTGGGATAATGGAAACTAAAATGGAAACTACTATAGGTCTATTGGGGTTATATAGGGATAATGGAAAATAAAATGGAAACTACTGCAATGGGGTTATATAGGGTAGGGGAGGGTTCCATTGGAGTAATATTGAGGTTATATTGGGATTATGGAAAATAAAATGGAAAGTACTATTTAGGGCTTGGGGTTTAGGGGTTTAGCGGTTTAGGGGTTTTGGGCTTAGGGGCTTCGGCTTTAGGGGTTTAGGCGCAGTTCAATGTGTTTACTGCACATGAGGGGGGTTACGCTCTTGGGAGGGCTTTGGTGTCTGGTGTATGCACCACACACAGTTTCAAGAATACCGAATACACATACAACTGCTCAACTGCTTAAGTTGTGAAGTTCCTGCAGCTTTGAGTGGGCTTCTCAGAGTGCAAACTGTTGGTGCTCCGTTTTTTGGTAGGCAAGGCCCTCCAGCACAAGCCATCCCCTACCCTATATAACCCCATTGCAGTAGTTTCCATTTTATTTTCCATTATCCCAAAATGACCTCAATATACCTATAGTAGTTTCCATTTTATTTTCCATTATCCCAAAATAACCTCAATATACCTATAGTAGTTTCCATTTATTTTCCATCATCCCTATATAACCTTAGTATACCGTAGTTTCCAGTTTATTTTCCATTATCCCTATATAACCTCAATATACCTATAGTAGTTTCCATTTGATTTTCCATTATCCCTATATAACCTCAATATACCTACAGTAGTTTCCATTTCATCTTCCATTATCCCTATATAACCTCAATATACCTATAATAGTTTCCATTTGATTTTCCATTATCCCTATATAACCTCAATATACCTATAGTAGTTTCCATTTTATTTTCCATTATCCCAAAATAACCTCAATAGACCTATAATGGTTTCCACTTTATTTTCCATTTTCCCAAAATAACCTCAATATACCTATAGTAGTTTCCATTTTATTTTCCATTATCCCAAAATAACCTCAATATACCTATAGTAGTTTCCATTTTCCCAAAATAACAATAATAATAGTAATAATAATAATAGTAATAATAATAGTAGTAATAATAACAATATTAGTAATAGGGGCCTCAGAATGCAGAGGAAAGCCAGCTCTGGGCTGCGGACGCATCCAAAGATCTCAGCCATGTCTCCAATGATGGCGGTCAGAACTCAGCACGAAGCGAGTGAACCGTAGTTTCCGTCGACACTAAAAAAGACCCTGCATGACCCCAAGTACCTTCTGCCTCGGAAACTCTGGTATTCTATTATGGCACGCCAGGTCTTTAACATCAACAGTATGTGAGCCCGGTCGAAGTGACGTTGCTAACCACCAGTTGTTGCGGCCTCCTGTCAGGAACTCCAATGTACACATGTGGCAGTAACAAAGTCACGAAGCAACAGGTTGGGTCAACAATGTCATGCTTCTTAGGGCAGCTCCTTGACGACTGAGTTCCTGGCAAGCTATGTAGCCCAAAGACGCGAAAAAACAGACCTTAGTGTTCCACATGCTTGCATGTGTCGTCTGCTACTGGCCTTGCTACTAATTACGTGGGACTCTGCAAGCGAGACAATAGCACCGCACAAAGCGGGGCTGCAACATTTTCTGTCTACAACACATATTAAGAGCTCTCGGGACCATTGGGAACCAAAACACATACACAACTACCACATAAACAAATACACAACATGCATGGTCATATTATATAACTAATCATATACACACATATGTAAATGGATGTGTGTACAGTGTACATAAGATAATGAATCACCAGCAACCCAGGGCCAGGCCCAACCGCGCAGGAACGCTGTGGGTGGAATCGGCGCAAAGAACCTCGCTACATGTATGCGATCTGGCGCTGCTCTTTGGAATCACGTGCGCTTGCCCTTATTAGAAGAATGTTGCGACGGTTCTCTGGGAGTGAAACGAACAATTGGCAGTGCTTGGCTACTCCTATCTTCGGAAGGTACTTCATTCAACCACATGAGCTGCATTGAGGTTGTGGTACTAAACCTATGACAGACCGTGAGCCACGTGCAAAGTTACTCACATGTGCCATCAAACTAGGCCCCGGGCAGCTTCCAGGGAACGCAGATCAGGTGGAAGACCCAGTCAGCCCAAGACGCCTCCGGGAGGCTTGGATGGCTGGGGTATATATTAGGGTTGTATTGGGGATAATGGAAAGGAAAATGGAAGCTACTTCATGGTGCATTGGAGCCTGTAAAGGAGCAAGGCGTGTTCAGCCAAGTTGCACAAAGGTTTGCACTGACCCCAACCAGGTGCAGGTACTGAAGCTGTACGACTTTGGTGTGGCTTCAGCTAGGGCAGAGCCGTGCGCTGTACATTTTGGCCAACAGCCTCCGGCGCGAAGCTAATGGCCCAGGCTCAGATGCACCAACCCCAGGCTGCCCAATCCAAGCGTTCTGTTGAAAGAACAAATTGTATCTGGCGATCCATTCCTAGGGCCAATAAGATACTCCGGACTCCACCTTTCTCGTAAAGGCTTAAAAGAAGGGGGCGCGACAAGCAAACACTCAACTGAACTCAACGCACAACCAAGGCATAGACCCTGCACCCCATTCCTGTTCGGCCGGCATCTAGAAGCATGCAGGACAGAAGCCTTCAGAAGGGGTGAACAAGTTCCCTAAAATCTAAACCCTAATATCATGGTCTAGGAAAGGCCGATCAAGGGCCCGGATCTCCATGTGACCCCACCCGTAATAATAAATCTTCCCCCTACTAGAAGGGTACCATACCATATTGGGGGGGGTGGCCTTCCGATTGTGGGTGGATCTTATTAGGAAAGGGGATTACTACCCTAAACCCTAAACCCTAAATCCTAAACCCTAAACCCTAAACCTTATCCCCAAAAAATCTGGAACCGATTTCTCAGGCATCCTCGACCCTGCGCCTGAGCTTCATGCTGCCATGAAGAACAGCAAAAGAATAAACACACCGCTCCCACGAACCATTTACCGCTATGACTCACAAGCGAGTTATCATAAGTGCTAGAGGAAAGGCAGACACCGGAATGATTCCTAACAACAGATTATGCCCATCATTACTTCCCCCCAAAAAAGGCCAATTCGAAGGATCGCGTCAATCTTGCTGCGGTTTTTTTTTCAGATCCCCCTTCTCCCCCCCAATTCATAGTCTAGACTTGTAGGATCCCAGAGCATCTCAAACCCAAAGCTCACACCCTTACCAGGACCCTTGTCACAAAACTCCCAAACCTCAAAACCTAAAACACTAGTGGGCCTCTTTTGCTGCTTCCATGCTGCCGTTGAGAACCACCGCCTCCACCAACTGTTCCCCTGGGCACCAGGTGCGGCTTTGTTCCCTCCCGTTTAGGGTTTGGAGTCTCTGGTTTGGTGCGTAAAGTTTATTAGGGTGTGGGGTTTAAGTTTCTGCCCTGTTGGGGCTTCAGAGCCCATAGCCAAGTTTACTTTGAATCTATGATCACAAAATCCCAAAATAACCTCACTCTATTCTCAAGCCGACTCAAGCCCTCAGGAGCGTCAAAGGCAATAATGCGTATCTTAATTGCAGACTGCTGCATTAAGTATCACAAGAACCAGCTGCATGAAGCATAAAGCCAGGCATGTAGCGAAACATGGTTGGCATCATCAAGAACCATGCTTGCAGCCTTTCGCATCAAATACACAGTGACAGGCAGAAGGTAACATGCCGGCAACACGCCACGATGCCATTCCAAGGCGCATCTGAGCCAAAGACAAGATTTCAGAATGATGAGAGCAGCACATGAGGCGGAGCTTACAGCCACTGAAAAGACCCAGCAGGTTACACCGGTACAATACTGGCAAGAACAACAGCCATGACATTCAGTTCAAATTTGAAAATGACGCGTATCCTAGCGGGGCATCTCTCTTGCCACATGCGGCCACTGCTACGCTCAGACTGCCACGCGGCGCGCAGTCTCTCCAAAACAGCATGCAGCAGCAGAAGACACCCAAAGCCATCAGTTCAATGCCTCGTCGCAGTTGAATGTGGCATCCAACCATTTGGATGCTCCTTCATCTGCTTCGTTAGTCTCAGCGAGAGCCATGGAGCGAAAAACAAGCAATGATCATCTCTAAAACTTGGAACCGGTGAGTTGCAAGCAGCCGGCTGCATTGCATCTGCACGATAATTCCATGCCCTGACGTGGCGAGGAGTGATCCTTCTGAATACAGCCTGAGGCCGCACACGCCAATCATGATCGTCTGGACCAAGGAATCGCGAATCTGCCCGTCGCTGTCGAACTGCGCACCTGCAAGCTGCGAGGTAATGGTTCACATTGGAGCATGCAGGATTCAAGAGGCTTGGTTGTTCTCAAAATTATGGGCCCCTCTTGCTCATAGATCATATTATGGCACCTAATATTTAGGGTTACCAAAATGGGACCCTAATTTTGGGAACTACCCAAGAGCTAAACCTTACCCCCTACCAGTCCACGCATGTCGAGGCCCGCCCTCGACATGGCACATTACTCTTTGCACACCATACCCATCTTACACGCCAAGCGCACCATCAGGGGACACCGCCCCAAAGCCTTGCTAAGTTATATTAGGGCTATATTGGTGTTATGTTGGGGTTCTATAGGGATAATGGACAAGAAAATGGAAACCACTATTCAGAGGCCAAATACAACAAGCATGCCATCAATCGTTAAAAGCTGTTAGCAGCCGAAAAGGATATGATTGACGAGGAGTTTGGCCAGGAAACGTCTCTACGATGGTTTCGCTTGGCAAGTTCGTTAGTGATGCCTGGGAGTACATAAGGCTACGACCGTTGCAGCAAGGCGGATACTGCCAAACAGAAAGCTCCCCAGCAGGATCTCTGTCCCGCTCCATCAAAGCCGAGCTCGGCTCAAGCCAACATAACGAACTCAAGCTGCTCAGGACCTCCTTCACCCAAGATCAAGCCCCAAATGCTATCCTTGCTGAACAGCCCTGCCGTAGAGCTCTCAAAAGGTACATGTTTTTTTCGCTGGATAAGACGTGCCTTCTGGCTCCACCAACATTAGGAGGAACTTGTCTGCGATCTCCTCAGAGACGCAAAGCCATTTTCACGAAGGAAATGCCCCATTCTTACACGTACAACACATGCATAGGTGGGAGCTTCAACGGTGGCACCCCATCTTTGGAATGCCTTTGAGGATGGGCAAACCGTACCCTAAACTGTCGAGGATGTACCTGATGGAAGGGCACTTGGAGACAAGTTGTTGAGATGTGCACTAGCAAAGCATTAGGTCAGTAGGTCATCGATGCACGGAGTCAATCCGGGGGAATGAAGCAAAAAAGAACGAACAAATGAGCAGAGCAATTGAAGAGCCTAGCAAAAAGCCATTTGGATCCCGTATCGTGAAAACGTCCAAACAGGTCGCTATGCCCGAAACCCGTGACCGAGCATTCTCGAAAGTTTGCATATGGTCTCAAACTTTTAATCCAAGCAAATCTACTCGCTCGCACCACTCGAGCCTCCATGCGTTTCGGCAGGATCCTCAGCACCACTTGGGCATGCCAGGCTTGGATGCTGCGATCATGGGATCGGATAAAATGACAACATGGCTTGCTTCCCCAGGACACAAAGCTGAGAACCCCGGCTCAATCTCCACGAACCGCTCCGTGACGCCAGGTGGGAATTCCAAGGTGCCCTTCGCAGGTGCAGACTTCAAGGTCAGCCTTTGCCTCTACTGCCGAATACTGCGGATCCCTAAATATGGATTAATATCCTAGTAACCTCAAACGTGGACCTAATGTCCTTGTAACCTAGTAAGTGCTTCCTTGCCTCAGACACTTATGCAAGCAGTGCAAGCTTCAGGGTGCCGCAGATTGCCTCTGCTTCTTCGTAATCAAAGCCAGGTACAGAGGACAACCGCGAGGTCCGATAACCTCAAAGTTGCCAACAGCTGGGCAACACCGAACGTCACTTTGCCCGAACACAGCCTTCCATTTCAAGCCTTTGCAGCAAGGTGCCATGCTGCAAGGATTTAGATTACCCCAAGAGCGCACTTCAAGCTAGCTGGCCTGTTCTGAAATTCAGCCTTCTTACTTCAATCTAATCCATTCAGTGAGCAACGCGTTCCATTCCGTAATCCGTTAAAATCCATTAAACCGACTTGGAACACAGCAGCATGGGCAGCCGATCAATCCGCAGTATCTGCTCTCGAATCAGGATCACAAATTCGATCGGAAACCAAGATCGTATTGGGTTCTGCCCTACCCAAACCCAACAATCCGTCGAATCTGTAATCCGTGCAAACGCTAATCCCGGTATCTGCCAATGCGCGTAAGCTTTGCAGAGCATTAAGAGCTCCAGGGTTGTACCCCTAAGGTCGTAGCCCTAGAAGGTTTCCCCAACATGGCCTCAATATGCCTCAATATAGCCCTTGTATGAGCTGATGAATTCCCCTAGAAGTCCCTTCAAAGGATCCCAAAACCCAGTGGTACAACCCTAGGGCACAAGCCTGAAACCCTTAAGATTAGTTCAAACCAGGCCAGCTCTATGGTGAAGACTAGTACTGGTAATAGTAGTAATAATAGTAATGATAGTAATACTAGTAATAATAACAATAATA